CTAAAGAATGTTGGTTCTTGGTGCATGTGTGTAAATTACCAAGCCATTAACAAGATCACATTCGGTACAAGTTTCCTATTCCATGACTAGATGAATTACTTGATCAAATTAGTGGCACAATCGTATTTACAAAACTAGATTTGAAGAGTGAATATCATTAAATACACATTAAGCCCGAAGATGAGTAGAAGATAGCCTTTAAGACACATGAGGGGTTATATGAATGGTTAGCCTTGCTTGTTTAGGTAATCAAACATATCGAGCATTTTATGCGTGTCATGAATCGAGCCTTAGGGTAATTTATCGATAAATCTGTATTGTTTACTTTAATGATATTCTAATTTATAATGTTAATCCCGAAGTCCATATTCAACATTTGAGAGATGTACCGACGAGTGTTTCATAGAGATAAGTTTTACGCAATAGTAAAAAAATGTGTGTTCATGGTACCCAAGGTGCTATTCCTTGGTTATATCATTTACGGAGATGGATTGTAGGTAAATGAGTCTAAGATTGAGATGGTGAGACAATGGCCTCAACCTAGCACTATTATCGAAGTTTGAAGCTTCCATGGGCTTGCCTCTTTTATCAACATTTTATTCCTCATTTCAGCAGCATTATGGCCTTAATTACTAACTGCATGAAGGGAGCCAAGTTTACTTAGACGAAGAGGCATTTCAAAAGATTAAGACACGGTTGACATCTACCCCAATTTTAGTGTCTGTCGGATTTTATGCGGTCTTTCGAACTACACGGTGATACATCAAAATTAGGCATTGGAGCATTGTTGAGTTAGAACAACGGACTAGTAGCGTACTTTAGTGAGAAGATGTCGGATGCGAAGCTTAATTACGATACTTATGATGTAGAGTTTTACACGGTAGTTTAAGTTGTAAAGCACTGGAGGCATTACCTATTCTAGAGGGAATTCATGTTGTATACTAACCATAAGGCATTAAAGCATCTACATAAACAAGATAAAGTATCGGTAAGGCATGCGAGATGGATTACTTATTTGCAAGCAATTTACCTTTATGGTTAAGTATAAGGTCGAGGTCACTAATAGAGTAGCGAATGCATTAAGTTATTTGTTGATACGTATACGAGTTGAGGTCCTGGTTTAGACTCATTTTGTGATTTGCTTAATACTAACCCATATTTCTCTAATGTTATAGGAAAAGTAAGCGTAGGAGATAAGATAGAATTTTCATTGCATGATGGGTTCCTGTTCAAGGGAAACCGACTTTATGTTCTCGAATGTAGTTTATGTATGCGGATCATTGTGGAGTTGCATGGGGAGGGTCATGTAAGATGAGACAGAACATTGCAACTAGTTCAACATTCATACTTTTAACCTACCATTCGAAAAGAAGTGGATAAGTTTTTACAGCATATGTCAAATCTTTCAAATGTCTAAGGAAGCATTACTAATGTTAGACTTTATATGCCATTGTTTGTACCTTCTCAACCTTGGGTGGATATCGGCATGGATTTTATTTTGGGATTACCTCAAACAGAGTAAGATAATGATTTCGTCTTTGTGGTTGTTGATCATTTTTAAGATGGCTCATTTGATTCCTTGCAAAAAGACAACAAATGCTATTAATGTTGCTTGCCTTTATTTTCGAGAGGTGTATCATCCGTATGGCTCGTCAATATCCATTATGTCCGACGGAGATACAAGGTTCCTCGGTCATTCTTGGTGCAGTTTATGGAAGATGTTGAGCACTTAGTTAAATTTCAACGAGTGCCTATCACCCATAGAGAGATGAGCAAATTGAACTTGTCAACCAATCTTTGGAAAACTTACTACGATGTTTGGTTGGTGATCATGCCAAGATTTGGGATCAAAAAGCGTGCCAAGCTGAATTTACTCATAACCATGCTTGTGAATAAAAGTACGAGATTCGATCCATTCCAAGTTATGTGTTTTGTCATTTCGTACGGGCCTTGAGATCCGATACCACTATCGAACATGACCAAGATTCATGGCAAGGTAGTTGATTTTGTAACAAGATTATAGGAAATTCACGAGGTCGTACGTGATAACCTAACTTAGTCGTATTCAAAATACAAGGTAGCTACGACAAGAAACGTCGCCATGTCGAGTTCGAAAAAAGTGACTTTGTGTGGACTGTTCTCATCAAGGATCGTTTTTTTGTAGGAGATTATAAAAAATTGGCAACAAAGAAGACCGGCAATACGGAGATAGTTAAAAAGATTAACCCCAATGCTTATTGCCTTAAGCTCTTTAATCATATGCGCATTGCTTGATGTGTTTAATGTCAAGCATTTGATTCCTTTTCGTGGTGACTCTTCGATGATACCGATGCAAACAATTCGATGGTAAATTTTCTCTTTCCGGGGGGAATGATTCGAATCAAAGGGCTTTAGAATTCATAGAATGGTATGAGCATGGCAAAAACTAAAGAAAAACTATCGGCTTAATTTTGAGATTTTTTAGACCTAGTTTGATGCCAAAAGAGACAAAGATCAAAACTCATGACTTTACCCATGACCTAGGAAAAATTTTGGCCAAAAAATGTCATTTAGGCTCTCCAAATTAGCTTTTACTATTTTTAGGATTTTTTCTTAAGTAGTTTTGAATTTTTAGTGCTTGTTTCTTTTTTGAATTGCTTTAGGGTTTTGGTTGAAATTTACAATTTATGTATCACTTTGAGGCTAAAAAATATCACTTTTTCTTGACTAATAAAGTTTATGAGATAGTATCTCGGTTTTATCCCAATTTCTAGCATACTTTGAATCAACGGAATTGAAACCTAGTTTACGGTATTTATGTGCAATTCAACGAGTTATAATGGATCGATATCCGGATTTCGGATCAATAGTAATTACTTCTTTCTAGTGAGTTTTTTGTTATGTCATAAATACCGACCAAAAGCTCACAACCAATCATCTCACATTCATTACATAAAATCCTTTCACTTCCCTATGCTTGATCTTTTCCTTCTCCACTCGAAAGTTTAAGCAATACGGTGCGGTTCTCGCTATGAGGTTCATACAATTCTTTGCGAGAAGGTTGTAGGCATCAAAGCTTTGTAATTGGGAGCTTGAAGGGATTTGTCCCTCCAAGTTGTTGTAGGACAAGTTCAAGAGACTCAAGAATGTCAAGCTTTACATCCTTGGAACGATTTCTAACAAGTTGACTCATAGAAAAATCAAGAGATTCCAGAGTGCTCTATAGCATCAATATTTTTGGGGATTCTTCCGATAGAAATGATTGTGCCACAAATTCAATGACAACGAATGCTATCAAGCCCGTCACTTCTTCGGTATCTCTCTTGATAAGTTATTGCTTGGAAAGGTATATGCTTCTAACAAAGCCGATAATAGTGATACGATCTACTATTCTCCCTTTCATCATAAGAGCCGTATTCTCATAAAACCCTTCTTAGAAAGAACTATGTGCTATATAGTTGTACGAAGAAGTGCTCATTTTGGTCATGGCACTAAAGATAGTGACACATCTCGAGATCATGGCTTTACGTAACGATCGTTATATAACGGTAACGAGACACCTCGTTATCGTTTTTCAGCATTATAGGTGCCTCGATGCCGTTTCACACATATAACGACAAATAACGACGTTACCGTTATATAACGTCATTATTTTTCGTTATATAACGGCGTTATGGAAAAAAACCAGAATTTTAGCTAAAGTTTTCAGCCATTTTAGCTATTGAAATTCAAGCAATGATGAGAGACAAGGAAGCGAGATAGGATGAGAGGCAAAGAAGGAGAGAGACGAGAGACGAGAAGCAAGCAAAAATGAGAGGTAGAAAGGCCGAGACGAGGGACATAGAGAAGCTTTGGGCGGTGATAACTGGTAGAGAAAAAGAAGAACTTGAAAAAAAAAAAAAAAAAGAACTTTTATTTTGAAAGGGAGCAAACCCACGTGCAATTTAATATCAAAAACTCGCTTTTGTAGGTTTTGATTGAACAAGTTATAAATTAGTCCTCTTATTTTGAAACAATAATTTAGTTATTACTTTTATTTCAAAAATCAATAATTTATTTATTTTTTTCATTTTCTATTTTTAATTTATTTTTATTTTTTATATTAAAAAATAAAAAAAATGGAAAAAAATTATACCATCAAAAAGAACGATGAAAAAAATATTTTATAGAATAAAATATTAAACTTTAAATATGATCAATACGATTAAAAGATTAAATAATTAGTTTTTAAAATATTAAAGCTAATTTATTCATTTATCAAAACTAGAAGGATTAATGTATGATTTAATCTTTTATTATTCTATTTTGGTTGTCTTGCATGTACAAATTCAAAGGCTACAAAGCAAATGTCGCTTTAATTAAATAAATTATAAATTAGTCCTTTTAGTTTGAGAAAATAAATGAGGTGATCTTTATTGTTTTCTTATTATTTTTTTTAATTTTATATCATTTTCTCATTTATTTTCAAAACTAGTTATTGTTGTAACTTTGATAGACAAGAATTACAACATCAATAACAAAATAATAACTATTATTATAATTTTTTACTATGATTATTTTAAAGATGAATATTTTGTACTCGTGTTTATTAATTGTAATGTTTTTTTTTTGTGATATTTATCTATTAGAAGTGTTATTAACTATTTTTTGTAATAAATTTAACTATTATTGTATGATATTAAAATATTAGAGATGTTATTACTTATTAGTATATTTAATTAATGAAACTTTTAAAAATATATGAATTAGAATAATCTTATTAGCAGTTTCTAATATATTCACGACATTAGTAGTCACGACCGTTATTTTACTATCGCAATGAGCCACTATCCGCTATCGACCGTTATTTCAACCGCGATCGTTATTTAAAACTATGCTCGGGATGCTTCCAAGGAGTTCGTTTTGAGCAAGGTCTACAATTTGCAAACAAGCTACACTGCAGAACTCTTCAAGGATGGAGGCATCCAAACTATTTGAATGAAGGATAATAACCTTCAACTTCAACGGTTTTTCTCCAGTCCATGTTGGAATACTACCAGCTAATCGATTTTCAGCTAAGTCAAGAGTTTCTAACTGTGTACAATTTTGACATAGGTAATTCTCTAGAGAGGCTGTTCTTGCGAAGGTGCAAAGACTTGAGCAAACTTAAAAACTCCAACAGAAATTCGGAATCATACAAGTAAATTTGTTAATCAGTGTAATTTTGATCTGCATATTGAATGTGCTACAGTAATACCCAATGTTTCTTATAAAGGACATCAACATCTCTTACTGTGCTTGGAGAATACAGAAATGGGGTACAGTGTAACAGCCGTGGTATCTCTTGCAACTCATCTGTGATTCGCCGCGTAGAGTGCAATTTCAGTCTCCACTACACATGGGGTCCATTGCCTTAAACCATCAAGCACGAATGCTCATAGACTCCCTACTCCTCAGAGATTCTCCTGTTGAAGATGATACATATGATTGGTTTTGCTGTGATGAATGTGAGAAGAAAAGAGACCCAGAGTTAGCTATCTACCACTGCAAGGATTGCCACTACATTGCTGAGATTGAATGTGTCAAGTCTGAGGAATTTAAACACTAAAATTTTGGTGAACCTAAAACTTTAGATAAAAATTTCAATAAGCATTCAGATGGTGTTTTAAGCCCAATGAATGAAATATTATGCTAGCTGGAGCCTATTTGATAACTCAAATATTTGACGTGATTCTTGAGTTGTGCATCAGGTTATGCTCATACTAAAGGTAGCCAGCCTATGGAGATGTGGAGTTGAGGACTCCAGCAGGACGAATCAATGGCAAGGTGATCACCAATTTAGAGCTGACAGAGATAGAGCTAGAAAAGGAGCAAAACAGCAACAAAGTAGGATCAATGGAGATCAACTGAGGGAGGAGATACATCCCCCGATGACAATAGCGAAGACAGTGATGTCAATTTCTGATGGTAACGTTGGGGCAGGAGAGTCATCATCCAAGGACCATAGTGAAGATGGTGAAGTCAAAGGTCATCTGATGACCATAGCGAAATCAGTGGTGATGAGCAGATGAAACTCAATGGTGTTTAGCACTAGCACTTGAAGGAGCCAATGTAGGATTAAAAAAACATTATCCATTGACCATAGAGAAGATAGTGATGGCAAACTATCTTGGATGAAGCTTATGCAAATTTTATGGAGAAGCTTGATTCTAGTAGCCATTGCCCTTACTTGACAGTTTGGGAAGGAAATGATGAGGTTGTAGATGAAGGGGGATAAAATGGTCGCTCAGACTTTGGCCTCCATTATATAAAACATCTGTGCCAACTATGGAGATATCATCAGTGCAGTCCACCTTAGGACTTCCTGTGAAGACATATTTTACTGTCATGTTACATAGGACTGCATGTGCAAAGCATGTGCATTGTTCAAAGGATCTCTGAAGATCTAATTCTCACGTGGTGGACCAATTTAAAAACTTTGCAGTTTGCTGGATTCAAAGTCCAGCGAATCTTTGATCGTAGTGAGCAATAAATGAATATTTTGTTAAACCAGCGGCCTGGCTGTCATTGGACAATGAATCCATGCTGAAAGTAGAATTGAAATAATTATCAGAGAAAATGTTGCAGATGGAAATGAAAAACTTGGAACATGAAATGCACAACTTTGTTGCCGAGTAAGAGAATTCAAGAGAGAAACACAGATGTATAGATTACCAAACAACATGTATAACGTCATTCAATGCATCTCCCAGAAGCGCAACCGACATAGGATCACAACAGTCAATTCAAATCAGCAACAAATTACACACACACACACATATATATATATATATATAGCCACCTAGTTCACAAGAAACAACATAACCATAAATTAATAGTAAATTATAAATTAGACTCAATATTTGAAAAACTAATTATTTAATTCTGTTTAATTTAATATTTTCTAATAAAAAAAAATACTGGACATATAATATTGTATCAACTTGGCTTATGCGATGGGCATTAGAAGAAGCTAAGGAAGGGCATTGTTTCAAGCACTCAAACTCCGTAAAACTCTTCTATTTCAGCATCAGATGCGCCTATATATATATTAGTTTTGATTTGACAACCAATGAAAAGCTTCACAAACAATCACATGGAGTGAGAATATTCGATTTCCATGGACTATGCATTCAACATATATAACTAGGAGCAACAACTGATCTCCACACACCAGTCTTTTCTAAACCTAATAATAATAATAATAATTTAGCAAAACGGTCATCAAGTACCAACTAACCCCACGTTGCCATTTTGTGCCCATTACTTTGATCATTTTCTTGGTGCTAGCTAGTGTGCTCCAGAAATAATCACCACTTTTGGAGACACTGGTTTTGCTGATCCCTCACTTTCTGCTTCTCTGGTTGTCCTTCGTACTCTTTCCACTCTTGTAAGTGATCTCTCAAAGCTCCACATTGTTTGAATCTGTGTTTGTAATCCACATTCTGTAATGCTATCATTTTAGCTCATTATAAATGAACAGAAATTGGAAAGACAGAAGTTGTTTTTAGGCTCAGTGGTTTTAGAGGTTGTTTTCTCAGCAACTGAAGGGAAATGTGTTTGAAATTGCTTGTGTTATATTGGGTTTTCTTGGTTTTTGTTGATCTATCTCTCAAGTTGCCAAGAAAACAAGATAAAAGAAACAGAAAATTAAAGAGAAGAATTGTTTGAATATCATGTTATGTGTAGTTTTGGTTGCTTTTTATTTGTTATTTGATACTTGGATGAGTCTCGTTATTGTAATACAGTCAATGTACGTAGTGAATAATTAGCCTGAACCCCCTTTTTTTTTTTTTATAAGCATTGTTTTCTTAAGGGAATTGATTTCGAATTTGAATGAGATAGAATGCCAAGAGGGAATCCAGATGGAAATCTAACTTTGTTTTGTTTCTTTCCCAGTTTTTACACAGATTGCCTTGATTTCTGCACTTGATACAGAACTAATAGGCTAATCTATTCATTGGCCAAGATGACTGTTTCACAACTAAAAGGTTCACCCTTTTATGGAGTTACTGGTGAAGGATGTGAAAGAAGAGGAATGAAAAAATGGAGTGAAGCTTTTACATTAAAAGACAAAATACAAGTTCCTCGTGATTGTCATTTTGTGGTGAGCAATAAGAGGGGAATGAGATTGAACACTGTCACCAAGTGTGGTGGACCAATCAGTGATCAGCCAACTTCAGAGTATGCCTTGAACCTTTCCAGTGTTGAGGAGAGATTAGCTTCAAACAATGGACGATCTGTAAGCAAGGGAATCTTGTAAGATTTACGACTTCTAATTCACTTTGGGTTCAGAAGTTTGTTTTTATGTATTTGCGATCTGCTGTGTATAGCAATGATCAATGTTTTAGTACCATACTTCCATTTATTCTTTCAATCTTGGCTGGCTGCATCACATAGGATGTCTCTCTTTGAGGATGTTATGATTGTGATTCTTAATTTTTTCACTTACAAAAAATTCTTGGTTATCTTCAAGTGACTCAACAGGGCCACCAATGAGCAGTCAATCACACACAGCAAGTGTCCAAAATGAACTTCTAATGCTTTCTTTACCAGCAATTGCTGGACAAGCAATTGAACCTTTAGCACAACTGATGGAAACAGCTTATGTCGGTAGATTAGGTAGGTATTTCCTGGTGAATCTAGATTTATGAATGTTGTATGAGAAAGCGGCAACAGCTTAATGAGCTCTTAATCTGATCAAAAAGGGCCGTCGGAGTTAGCATCAGCAGGAGTTTCCATGTCAATTTTCAATATCCTATCGAAGGTTTTTAATATACCTCGCCTCAGTGTAGCAACTTCATTTGTGGCTGAAGACATCGCAAGGAATGCTGGCAAGTCTACTTCTGGTGAATATAGCAGTGTTACTCGAGCTTCTAGCAGACATGCAAGTATTGTATGACCACAAAATTTGTAAGTTTAGTCTAAACTTGAAGTTGTTTGATGTAAAGGTTATGACCGCCCTGATGATGAAATAGCTGAAAGAAAGTCACTACCTTCCGTCTCTACTGCCTTAGTCTTAGCAGCTGCAATCGGTGTATTTGAGGCCTTGGCAATGTATCTAGGATCTGGAATATTTCTCAACATGATGGGCATACCACGGGTAAGTACTCCTGATACTTCATTTACTATATCAGTTCTCTCTCTCTCTCTCTCTCTCTCTTTTTTACAGAAATGTATTTTCATGTGATTTTTTATGTACTGGGTGGACTGTTTTCTGAACCCAATTTTCTGCACAGGCTTCACCGATGCGCATTCCAGCAGAAAGATTTCTTAAACTCAGAGCAATCGGTGCTTCAGCGGTTGTAGTTTATTTGGCCATTCAAGGCATTTTCCGCGGGTTTAAGGACACAAAGACTCCTATCTTATGTCTAGGCAAGCGTTTGGATGAAATTATTATAAAGGACGAACAAGTCATTGGTCTATTTTATTTTTACTTTCTGCAAAAAGCACAGAGCATAAATGTAAAATCAGTAAGCATCACGTATTTACTTTGATTACATGAAATTGGTATAAAGGCTAAGGCCATATTTGAGGAGGAAGTAGAAGATGCTTGCCTTGCCTAGTTCATACAAAAATGGTCATAAGGGGTTTCAGAGTATAAACCTAGTCCACTAAAGAATAGCACATTTTGGATATGAACTGGGTCTGTGAATGTTCAAAGAAGGGGTAGAGCCTTCTAAACACAATTCAGTAAATAGATCCCAGAGCCATAATAGTGAAAGTCTGGCCAAAGGGTTCCATTCAAGATACCACATCCATCAAACCACCTTTGAGCATAAGTTAAAGCTCTAGCATATTGTTTAAGAATCCCTTTATGACATGTATGACACCAATAGTTTTTTTTATCACATGACACTAACAGTTGAATGGGAAGCTAGGTCATGTTCCTTCATTCTGCATGTCTACAGTCATATTTCCAAAGAATGTTTACAAATCAAAGAAATCTCTTCTGTTTGGATAAAGTTACCATTGCCTTTTCATGTCAAGAAATTCACAGTATTGCTTATGCTGCTCCAAAGCTCCATGTATCTAAGTTTATCCCGTGTCTTGGATCTTGTTTTCTCCATGAATTTCGATAGCAAACAATCAACCCATGTGACTTCATGAATTTGATCACTAAAAGGGTTCATGCAAAGCCATATGTTTTATCTAGCTAGTATCTTTAAATTTTTTACCTGGCAGTTAAATTACATTAATGATGGTCTAAACCTATATTTGATGAATTTTTAGCCCAGTTAACTGTTAGAATGTGTGTGCTGGTAAGAAGATTTCCAATTCAGTAAGTATTACTATTAAGCTGACCGAGTTGGAATATTTATTTGTAGGGTTTGGCAATTTTTCAGCTGTATTCTTGTTCCCCTTGCTGATGTATTATTTTGGCATGGGTGTAACTGGTGCTGCCATTTCTACCATTATATCTCAGTACGTTCTTTTCACTGTGCTACATTTTCTTTTACTCCTACTATAATGAGCATCATAAATAATGGTTGTGCTTCAAAAATTTTCAGATACGTTGTTGCCTTTCTTATGATCTGTTATCTTAACAAAAGGACAGCTCTGTCCCTTTGGAGTGTCAAAAGTTTGAATTTTGGCTGCTACCTGAGCTCTGGTAAGTCTTACTGATTCTGATGCATTTAGTCATGACTCATGATCAAGTTTTTTAAATCCATGAAGATTTTAGTTTTTTTTTCCCCCCTCATTCACAGACCCAAGGCTCCCAACAGAACTAATCTGGTAGGATTTGAATCCGTGACCTCTTGTTGCAAGAGACCATTACCACTGGGCTACAAGCTCTTTGGTTGAAGATTTTAGTATCTATTGCTGTATGTTATGCTGTGATGGTTTCTTTTTGTCAGAATGTGTTGAAAGATGTATCTAGTACTACAGTCACAGAGTAATTGATGTAATAAACTATCATATGCAACCACTAATACTAATTTACATTATGATGGACTTCTACCCTGCTTCCCTCTCTTTCTCTTCACAAGCTTATATTTAATCATATCCTTATATTGTGGGTTAAAGGAAAATCTACGGTCTAAAATAGTGTTTCTGATGCTGAAGTTCTACTTGGGGAATTACTAAATGTTGTTGAAAAGTTTAAACTTTAACCTATGTACTTGATTGTGTAAATTGATGATTATGCTGTCCAAAAATGAAGTTCGTTAGCCATCTGGAGTTGGTTCTCTGAACAAAGGCACATTAAGTGAATTAAAAATTAGAAATTGTATTAACAAAAAATTAGGAAGAAGAATGCAATGCTAGCTTTCAGCTGTTGTGCTTCTCCTCATGTTTCCTGTTATAATCTGATCTATAGAAGAAAATTTTACAACATGGATTCCCTTTGGCTTAAGATCGCTATAACTCGAAATTGGTTTAGAGGCTCTTTCTTGCGAAGAGTATGAACAGATGTTGAGGTTTTGCTTGTGGGAAGTACTTGTAGGTTGTCAGATCTGCTTGATGTCTATATACTTTGCATAAAACTTTTAAAATTTGTTAAATTATTATTAAAAATATGCTCATGCTGTGTTGAGTTCTAACTTTAATTTTCCTTATGAATTCTTATTTAAATGTGTTGTAAGTAAGCATATGAATTTTTATTTCCGTATTTGGTTCTGTTGGATACCCCTGTCTTTGCAAATGCCAGGGACGACCTTAACAAATCTATGTTTCTTTTAAGAGATATTCTGAAGAATAAATTCTCTTTTTCAGGTGGTTTTCTTCTTGGGAGAACTTTTGCTGCTGCCATGACCATAACATTGAGCACATCAATGGCTGCTCGTCAAGGAGCCCTAGCCATGGCAGCTCATCAAATATGTTTACAAGTGTGGTTATCAGTTTCACGCCTTGCAGATGCTCAAGCTGCATCTGGTCAGGTAAGGCCAATTAACATTTTACCTTTTTCTAACTATCTCTATTCTAACTCCTCCTAGGTGACAACTTCTTAGTCGATAACCAATTGCAATTGTATTCTATGAGATCAGAGCTTAATAATTTAGTAAGCTAGAGCCTTTTGTGTTTAGGAGGTTCTTGGATTGCCCAGATGTGAATTATACTTTGTATAGAATCATGTGAATGGCTTTAGGGGGTTGGAGTCCTCTTGTAAAGCGTAGGACATGCAGAATTCCTGCTATCACAGTTCATTTTCTTTTCTCATTAACTTCATGATCATATATCCTCCAAAAAATTCTAACGATCGAAAAAACCATATTATTTGCAGCCCCTTATTGCAAGTTCTTCTGCAAAAGGTGACTACAGCACTGTGAAAGAAATTACTTTCTCTGCTTTAAAGGTGACTGTTCCTGTATTTGGCTGTGGTTTGTAGGATATTCATTTTGTTTCTTACTGGTTCTTCTTTGGGCTTCATGATGATCAATAACATGTCATATGGTTTCACCAGACAGGATTAATCACCGGCATTTCCTTAGCTGTCATATTGGGTGTATCATTTAGTTCTATGGCGACTATGTTCACTAACGATGTGGAGGTACTAGCTATAGTCAGATCTGGGTTACTGGTATGCATCCATGTTTACTCTAGTTTCATAGTTTCAATTCTTCAGTTTGTTTGATTTGGCAATCACCAACTTCTTTCTGCTTGTTTTAATTAATTTACTTCATCCACTCCTGTCTACATGTACTGCAGTTTGTGAGTGCTAGTCAACCTATCAATGCGCTTGCTTATATATTTGATGGTCTCCACTGCGGCATATCTGATTTTTCGTATGCTGCTTGGTCTATGGTAAGTTGTGATCTCATGACATATTGCACTCGCATAAGGTTTCAGTTGTGATTTTCTAACCTATTGTTTTTCATGTCAAATATGTCCTTAATAATAATAATAATAATAGATGGTGGTTGGGGCAATATCTTCTGCATTTATTCTTTATGCACCCTCAATTGTTGGTCTCTCCGGAGTTTGGTCTGGATTAACTCTTTTCATGGGCTTGCGGACAGTCGCTGGATGCATGAGGTATGAACTGCGTGACATTAGCTTCCAACAGTGTTTCTGTAACTTTTCAATGAAGACTAATCCTTTTCTGTGCATGAACCAGTATTTGGATTTCATACCTGTCAATATAGTTTTCTTCTGTGGCGTTACTTCTTTTCATATTTACTAGGCGAAAATGCTGAATCTTTTGTCATCTGATTTCATGTTTGATTATTCCAGCTATACTATCAGCAATTTATCATGTTGATAAATATTCTTGCTATTAATCCCAGCCGCTCTTACATTTTGTGCTAGATTGATTTCGAAAAATGGGCCTTGGTGGTTCCTGCAGGAGGACATCCATAAAAATTGGAGATTGGTTGATGTAAGTCAAGATCTCTTCTAGTCTAAATCTGTTGATCATCTCTTATCATATGTTCATACTGTCCTCTCCACAAAAGAAGTAATCATATTGCTTCTTTGTACCTCTCATGTGATTCATGTTGCAACTTCCCTGACGTGTACAATTAAACAAAATTTATCACAGGCTTAGCAAGGCTTGCTTAAAATGCATACATTTGTAGAGAATGAGGAGTATTCTTCACTTTAACAAAAAGGTGTGGAAGTTAGACTGTACGAAGGAAAGATAGGAGGACTATTCTTTGATTTAAGTCAAGATCTCTATATTTTTATAACAGGTTATCTCCACGTTTAGATCCTGTACTTTCAATATATATATATATATATATATATATATATATATATATATATATATATATATTAAAACTCTTAAAAATATATATATATTTTTTTTAACTTGATTGAAACATTTCGTTTTTTAAAAAATTTTCCTTCAAATCATCTATAACATCGTTATCAACGATGGACATATCATTTTTACTTTTTAAGATTTATTATTTTATAATATTATGTGTCGATTATTGATTGATAGTGTTATAATAGAAGGTTTGAAAGAAAAATCTAAAAAAAAATAATCTGAATAAAAAAAATAATAGACAATTTCAATTAAAAAAAATATATGAGAAAAATCCGATGCATACGATAACTTTCATGTAATATTTCCATATTCTTTTATAGATTGCAGCTTGAGGCATGAACCTCTCTCCTTGCTATGCAAGACTTGAAGTCTATACCTACTCTAGATAAAATAGCTAATCATCAGTTCTACTGCCTTCTCCTTTATCATTTTTTTATTATTATTTTATTTTTACGTGTATGATATGAATTGCATCAGTTTTGTATGGTTATTCATAGAAATTACGCTTGGTTACTTTTCCAGCCGCTGCAAATAGCTTTCCTAATTATGGTTTAACCGATCTATGTTTTCTAATAATCAAACTGAACCAAATAAAACAATAGATAAAGATGTAAGAATTTAATCATAGAAAAGAAATTGCATATATGGATCACGTAAAAACTATATATATAGAAAGGATTTTCTGTTAATAACAAAAATTTGTCCTTAAACAATGACGTTTGCATAATAATAGACTAGTGCACAAGCAAGGATTGTACATATGAAGAGAGAATGTATGAATTTGGTTTAATGGAAAAAATTGAACCCCTTCCGTTGCATTTTGGCAATTTCATGTTTTATTATCAATTTGTGTAATGTAAACCATAAACTATTATATTTTGAGTAAATTTTATACTCTCCTTTCATTTGTAACTTGATCAATCTTTTAACCATTAACTAAATGTTTAAATGACATTGTTTAAACATTCTACCATTTTTTTTCAAAAAAATATCTAAGAAATAAATAAATAAATCAATTAAAAGGTTAATACAGGCGACAAGTCGTATTAATCCTTTTAATTGTAAAATATGAATCAATGAGAGAGAGAGAGATTGATTTAGGTTTTTATCAATTGAATTGTTTTCTTCTAAAAAATTTGAAAGTGAGAGAGAGAGAGAGAGATTGATTTAGGTTTTTATCAATTGATCCTTTTTACGGGCGATAAGTCGTATTAATCCTTTTAATTGTAAAATATGAATCAATGAGAGAGAGAGAGATTGATTTAGGTTTTTATCAATTGAATCGTTTTCTTCTAAAAAATTTGAAAGTGACGAGAGAGTGAGAGAGTGAGAGATTGGATTCGGTCCGTAAAATGTTATAGAAGATTGAGAGAGTCACTTAATCCATGTAATTTTCAAATGCACTTGGTATTTTTTTTTTTTTCCAATGTATTTTGTCTTTCTCTTTTTCATCTTTTGATTTTTAGTGTTAGAGATTTGACTATATCTTGAGGTTTGGTTATTATTTACAAAATAATAATAATAATAATAAATAAATAAATAAATAAATAAATAATTACGGTCTCTTATACTTCATTGTTTGTGTTTTGTCAAAATCATAAGTGAAAAGGCCAAATTCAACCTTGATATTACTTGTTGAAGGAGAATTTTGTTCGAAATTCTAACTTGAAGTACATTAGTGGTGTTTATGAAATTAAGTTGGTTGATACAAATTATTTTTCATTTTTAGCCTTGAAACAAATGGTTAGAAGTTATGGATTGGTTGATCTTAAAAAAATACATTGTAGAGTTTTAAGAAATGGTGATACATTAGAAACTTAGTTGATATATGTATATGATAAAAAGTCTTTATTTTCATATTTGAATGATTTTCTTAAGCAAGAGAATATGAAATTTTTTATGGATGATGCGAATAGGTTTGTAAAAGATAAGAATGCATTGATTGACCTTGAGAATGGTCTTGAGAGTATGGTCTAGGAACAAAATGCGAGAACAAATATAGATGGTGATTGTAGAATTGGTGAGGGCAACGGTTAAATGATGTTGTGCTATCTTGTCAAACTAAGGGTATTCATGCAACTAGTAAGAAAGGACAATTTAATAATATAGATGGTTGTAGTGAAGAACATGAACGAGCATGACACCCAACACAATGTGGAACATGATTTTGAAAGTATTGAGGTAGGGCATATTATATGATGTCGAGAGGGAAGAGGGTAATAAAGTAGAGGGAAACACTAAGGGGTTAGGGAATGAAAAGGGAGAAAATGAAGAGTCCGGTTCGGAAGACAATGGAGATGATAAGGATGGTTATGATAGTGTATTGGAGTTGGATAATGATGCTATATGTCTCGGTTAGCGACTTAACACATCATTGGAGCTACAAGACATGACTAATAGAGCATTAGGACTAGCAAAATCTACTAGTGTATGATGTGGGGGAGTTTTCCGGTTATCAAACATGAAAAAGTCCGAGAGATTAGAGAAGTAAAAAGATTAGAGATTGATTTTTTTTCTCGGCTTTTCACAAACGACACCACTAATGAGGTTATGGATCCTCAATTTGTATGAACGGTTAGATGAGTCCTCTCATTGGCTAATAATGTGATAGAGATTTGTCCTAATCTTGAAATCCTATGGCTAATATTTACAAAATAAAGTTCTCTTCTTGGGTTTTGAAGGATCATTTGATGGTTAAATTAGTGAATGAAGAAAAATGTTTTGTCTTATTAAGCTTAGTAGTATATCTTTTAGGGTAGTTTTCCTTATTAAGCTAGTAATGTGTTATTATTTATGTGTGAAAAAGATATACAATACTTGTTTTAGGTCTCATGGGGTGTGTAGAAGGCAAAACCTCTTGTTATTGTGCTTAAACTTTTTTACCTATATAAGTTACATTTTTCATAATAGGTGTGAGGAAGACCAACTTGCATGGATTAGAGAGCATATTTGCCATTCATTTGAGGGCAAATGGATCTCTTTCTTATTGTGTGACAACTTTTTAGAAATATTTCTATAAGTTGAAGATCCTACTAGGAAAAATTCTCTCATTGAAGTAAATAGCATCATTTTTAGAGTTTAGCATATGAGGCAGTTGTCTTTTGTTTAGTATTTGTCATTTATGCTACTTTTTAGTGGGAGATTGAGCTAAACCCGAAGGTGAGTAGTGAGGTAGATATGGGGGTATCCATATTTATAGGAGTATTTTTTATACCAAATTCGTGTAAGTTGTTTTTTTTTTTTTTTCGAACATATCATTATTATTATTATTATTATTATGGAGATTTTTGCAATCTTTAAGGTTTTTTTGGCATACAATTATCATGATGGAAAGGTAAAATAAATAATCTTTTGAGTATTTCTAGAATAATGTCCTCTCATAATGTTTTTTTTTTTTTTTAACTTCATTTTGCATGTTGTCGTTTATTGTTTTTATGCAATGAATATGAGAAATTTTTTTTTTTTTTTTTTTTGTGTTAAAGTAATGACGGCATCCATTAATTTATTCAATTAAAAAAAAATTATTTAGTTTTTCTATAATACAAATTGGTCATTATATATATATATATATTCTTTAGAGTTTTGAAATACTTTGTTTTCTTTTTTCTAGAGTTTCTAGGGATATATTTTATTTTGTTGTGTTACATATATAGGATATTTAAGTTATTTTTTTTAGTTGATATATAATATCAATGTTAGACAAATCAGGAAAATAACTTAATTCAGTATTATCATCTAAGAGTGCTACTCTTCATTAATTGTATACTCCATCTATTTAATTAAATTGAGTTGCCTATATTAACTGACAATTACATCATTTTAAAAACATAAAGAATATATTTATATTTGACTATTATTTTAACATAATTAATATTCAAATTTATAAATTGATTCTATATATATATATATATATATATATGATCATTCCTTTAATAAAATAATATAATATAGCATTTAGATTTATGATCAGTATCGATCTCTTAATTAGGACTTCATAATAGATTAATTGATTTTATATACTCGCGACTCGATCAATTATTATCATTTCCATTTCATTTTTGCTTTAAAAGCATTTTTATTTTCTTAGAAAAAAACCACCAATTATATGCAAAGATGGTTTTTATGAATTTTCAAAAAGAAAAAAACAAGAATGACAAACACGATTTACATGGGCTTCTCCAGTAGATTATTATTACTATCATTTATGTCTCACCCACGTCTGATACAAACATACACAAAAATGCTAATTAATACAAATAATTTGATCATTCATTTCTAGATCAATCAAAAAACAAAAATTGACGCTAATGTGTAGTCTTCCTATTCCTATTACTGTAGATATGAGGAGATCCAACTTCGAGATGATTAACGCATGCTCCAATTGTGGAAAGGATATCAAGATGACGACTCAAAATTTTAAAGACGAACAGAGACGAAGATGCAAGCCAAAATTAAGGTGCCCAAAAGGATATCTGTCTGCAGCTCAGAATTGGCAGGGGGTAGTCTAGTCAAGAAAGAGGTAGTGTCCTCTGCCATCACCTGCTCGACCTCCTAAGCACCAGCCTGCTCTTCCTAAGCCCCAGCACCAATCTGCCTTGTCTTCAAAGTCCAACCTTCATTTTGATTAGGTCTAACAGATGGAACACTTATTTAGTACTTCGATCTCAAATCATTCTACGTTTCTTTCTTATACATGAAACATTATAGTAGATAGAATGGAAAGATTGATGGCTAGCAATGGAAGAGATCCCAAGTTCGAACCAGCCTCTCTTGTAACCAAAAAAAAAAAACTGCAAACAATTGGTTTGTAGAGCAGTGACTAGCAATGGAAGAGTTTGTTCAGATTGATGGCCAAAACATCCTAAAATGAAGAATAATTACCTGTTTTGAAATTCTACAACTCTTCAACTTATTATGCTGCAGTTTTGAATCTTTTCACTCATCATAATGACCATCTACACCTCTTCTTTTCAACCCTATAGTTAAAAGAAAACATAGTTGCAGATTGATTTCTGTAGCTGGTTTTTATACGAGAAGAAGTAGAGTAATATAATTACTGTGACTGGCTCAATTAGCTCGAGCTTCTTGTGTATGCATCATGGATCACAGTTTTCTGACTACATTCATCATTTGTTCTTTGCAGTGGAAGCTCAACGTGTTCTTTTTAGGACAGTTCAGCGGTTTAAGGAATAACAGTTCTGCTGTAATAATTTTCTCCTCCTCAGAATGTTCATGATGACGAACTAAAAGAGGTTTTTCTGATTGCATACGTGTTTAAATTGAAGATTGATTTCTGTTGAGGAATCTTAAAGCTTTAATTCCATTAGAACTGTTCTGTTTATCATACAGGTGTTATAACTCAAAAAGAAGAAAAAGAAACGATAGAGTTGAATCTTCGATGACCTAAGGTTAATTTAGACAGCCAACTGAGGCAAACTGTGTATTAAAAGTTCCATGACAGTTGAACTTTAATGTTAACCGAAACTGGAAGACCTGTAAACTAACATGCATTTGGAGTTGAGGGTTAAAACACATAGGGCATGTTCCGCCCTGCCGAGCTTGCTTCTACTGAGATTGCATTTCCCAGTTTTGAGTACATTTTCACGTAAATTGCCCGCCTGTTAAACAGATACAATTTAACACACATAAGAGTAGCAGATACATTTACAAGAGTGAAGGTTCAGCAGTAACAACAAAGCAAATTTTCACACCAAGCATGCAATATCTGATTAGTTTCACATAATTCACTCTTGACAACAACACAATGCCCTCAACATCCTGCGATCAGACTGTAATGGCTGAGGGAGAAAGTGCGAGAGGTGTTGCTATACGGAAATGATGAGGTCTAAATGGATGCAGGGGAGGGTCCATCTTCACAACTGCCTAAAACCTCTTGAACAACCCACCTATTGAGATAGCATTGTCAGCCAGTTATTAGGAATAAAATGAAAAAGAACCAAATATTAAAGCACTACCAATCAGATTAAACATACCGATGCCTATACTTCTCTCAGTATTTCTTTATCACCAACATTCTCTATATGTGGAACTTAGAAGCAAGAGAATTTGTGCACTTATCAAATTTTGCTTAAGCCTCAACACTCTGTTTATCATCTCCACTAAAGTCTCAATCTATGGTTTTGCTTTGATTTATTTGGTAAGATTTGTCAAGGACAAGCATGTGCTGTGTAACATTATTGAAAACATATTGTCAATGTCAAAAAAATCTTTGCGTTATGAGGTAGCAAGGAGTAGAATTGAAGCCGATGATTCTCATCTCCCTTGGTTTGCAGGAACAATTATAAATGAGTTTGCTTAAATATCCTTTTATAGAGCATCACAGCTAAGCAACAATGGTCCAGGATTCCTATAGCAGCTATTTATCTTGTTATGTCAAAGGATTCAAAAATTAAAACTACAGCAAAATATACTAACATTCATCATATTGGTTTAATCAGATAGAATATTTATCGACTTCTGATACTTACATAAACATCCAGACCAAGATTGGTTTATGTCGAGGAGCCAATATTGGGTGGCCAGAATATATCAGAAAACTCAGGAATCACGGCAAGTTGCTCAATGCTACGATCCTCTAATTGAAACACATGAATGCGACCTGCACTCAATTCCCTAACAACAAAATCATCTCCATCAATGAAGTATATGCAATTCCCTTTACCTCCATTAAAATCTCTGCACGAAATCGAGAAAGAACAGTCCATACCCAAAACAAAGACTCGATCATCTAGAGATTTCAAATCAACCCAAGTAGCCCACTCTTCATCCAGCCTATAGACTCTAAAATCGACTGCCTTATTAGGTCTGGTTTGTTTCCTTGTTCTTCTCCGACCACGAAAATTATTATTGTCATCCATAACATCCTCATAATCTTTCCATGTCCTCCTTTCTCCATCAAGATACGTATCAACAACATAAAGATCTCCACATGACTCTACCAAATTCTTTTTCTCTCCGCAACCATAAAGTGGAGGTGAATACTGAATCACATTCAATGATGAATCAATCCAGGAAACCGTCCCCCGTCTATCAACAACATAAAACTGGTCCTTGTACACAACAATATCATCATATTCAAAATTATTATCATCTAACAAAGTCCATTCCTCATCTCCATATTTCCAATAGCCCAATTTCCCTTCATGATAAATAGACAACATTCCCAATTCATCTTTATTACTACAGCTTGCAGAGATAGGAAACAGAACAACCTTATTTATTCCAAAAACAAGAAACCCATTTGACCATTTAAGAAAAAAAGCATTACTCAAATGTACAAACTTAAAGTCATGTAAATTCAATGATATTGGTGAATCCTTAGCTTCTTGATTAGTAAGTGGATTCAAAAGCTGTAGTTTGCCATATTTCGACTCTCCAACTTTAACCAACCAAGATTTTGATAAGGAATAAGAATAGTTTGGACATTTACGTACAGGTTCCAACCGGCATACACTAGTTTGCATGAGAGCTGCATCTGCAGAGATTGACCCAGGAAGCTTAAGAAGCAAAGGAGGAATTTCTTGATCAAATGAAGGTAAAGAGGCAGAGCATCTCCATGAAGTGCAGACAGCACGAAAGCGAAGTAAGTCCACTCGAGAATCTAAGCGTTTTCTGATCATCTCTAACAGTTCTTTTGGAAGATCTGCCCATTGGGACATAGTGTTTTGATCACTTCTCTGTCTCTTAGAAGTTCAGTAATGAAACAAGAGCTGCAGATTTTTCAAGCTAATGATGGCTTTCGCATGCTTATCCTTTTGTTTTTGCATCGACTAGAGAGACTTTTGTTTTGGCGAAGTCAACCAACAAAATTATTCGTTCCTAATTAAGGCTGTGTTTGTCTGGGAAAAATAAGTTCTAAGAATTTGTTTTCTCTATTTTCAATGTTTGTTTCGTTTTTAGTAAAAAAGTCAATAAAAAATAATTTTTAATCAACAAAAAATGATACCGTATTTAAAAAAAAAAAAAGATGTTTTTCTAGTTAAAAATGAAAAAAATGTTTTTCTTCTCGGGAGTTGTCTCGCTCTCACGTTACTTACTTCTCTCTTGATATATTTTAACAATTTTTTTCTCTATCTTTCTTTTATTTAAAATATATCAAATTAATTTTTAATTATTCTTTATCAATTATTTTCTCTCCATTTCTACTAATATTTGATTTTTTTATTGATAGATACATTAAATATTCTTAAAAACTATTTTTACATCTTAAAATTATTTTTATAATAAATATTTTAATAATTTATGTCTATTTTTTACTATTATCTTAAACACCATCTAAACTATACTTAAATAATTGAAAATGATTATTACAACACTGTGATTTTTTGTAAAAAGTTTGAAATTTTTTAATTAATTTATTAATAAATACATTATTTTTCAAACACTATTCATTTGCAACTAAATCAATAAGTTGTAATTTCAATTAATTGTAAAATTTTATTGGTAATTATAGTGAATAATTAGTTATAAATTATTCCAACATTAATATTTTGAAACCAAATGAATAATTATCTACAAATGATAACTAATAATTTATAAAACTATTTTTTAGATTAAATTATCAAAACAAAAAACAAACAAAAAATCTTAATTGATTTACCAAAATAGTAATGCTAGGATTACTTAGAATTTTTATTTTTATTTTTATTTTACTAAATGTGAATATTAACTTGATTTTGTCTCAAGTAATTTTGATGAATTTGTTTGATAGTTAAAAAAAAAAAAGATATTTTATTTTTTGAATTAAAATTTTAGAGTCGGTATTTATAAAAATTTATTAAATTTTTCTAAATGTATCTTATATTATGAAATTATGAATATGCCTTTTTTTAAGTTTTATCAAAATTTATTGATGTAACAATCACATGTTGTTTTTATATTTTAATTTTCTGTATTAAATAAACGTTGAAATATATTTTTCAACGATTTTTTCATGTAATTGCCAAACAACAAAAAATATTTTCTTGAAAAATAATTTTTTAAAAAATAATTTCTTTAGAAATTGATTTTCCTATGAAAATTATTTTTCACCAAACAAGCGAAGCTTAAACATCATTAAAAACCCTTGGACCAGAGGGACTGAGGGAGAGATTGGACTGATGGGCTTCATGGCCTTACTATAAGCAGGTTTGATGGGCTTCAATGAGCTGTTATTATTTATTATATGGAAGACTGGATCGAGATGTTCCACCTCTCAAAACAGTCATGGGAGTCAATTATATCCTAGTCTTTGTAATTTAACAAAACTAATTAATTATTTCTTGTGGTTTCAAAAACTATATATTTAATCCTTATGTTTTTAAATGCATTTATAACTCAATCTTTTTTGTCTATGGCTTGTAATTTTGTTTTATTTTTAGTTTAAGGAAAAAAAAGTACATAGAATGGAAAAAAAAATTGATGAAAAAATAAGGTAATTCTTTAAAACAAAACGTTATTAAATTAAAAATGATCAACCCCGGTAAAATAACTATTTGATAATTTTTTATACTATTGAGATTAATTCATTCAATTTGATAAACTTCATGTACATAATTATAATTAATTTGAGTGATGGGTTTCATAACTCACCCCCCCCCCCCCCCAACGTTTATTTTCATAACAAAATTCCAAAAAAAAAAAAAAAAACTTTGCATAGTTTTTTTTTCATGATTTTTAAGCATTTTTATAAATTTATAGGATTTTAATTTCTAAAAATTATTTTCCATTTTAATTAGAGTAAAATAAGAAAAAAAATAAGAAAGATGATTTGAGGTCCAATTGAAAATAATGTGAAAAGTGAGGATTAAATGACATTCAAATGGAGATGTATTTGGAAAGGGATGAAAATCAATGAACTTAATTGAGAATTAATCAGTATGAAATTGAAAAAAATTAAAAGAATAGAGATTAAACAATTTCAATTAAGAAGTTAATTAGAAAAAAATAATGAAACATATATTGAAATTGAGAAAAATAATCCAAAGAAGAACCAAAATTGATTTTATCTCAAACCCTAAAAAATCCATATATAAACACATTTTCACTTCATTTTTTAGAGTCTCCATAATTATTCCTCTATCCAAAAAACCCTATTCTTCACTCGTCTTTTTACAAATATTGAAAAAATATATATATCCTCCATCACCCATCTATCTACTAAAAAAACAATCTAGCCTCCATAATTATTCCCTACACAAAATAATCTAGCTAAAATACCAATCATCCCTATCCACAAAAAAAACAAGAAAAACAAAATATAAAAATTGTACTATTCATCATCTCCCTAAAAAAAATTTACAAGACACCGATCCTAAGAGAACAAAAAAAAAAAAAAAAAAAAGGAAAAAATAGATTCTTCCAAATGGTCCCTAGAAGGTGCTATCAACCCGGATCATCTACAAGTCAACTTGCATACCGTCGGCATTTCTCTCTCAAATCGATCATCCTTTGACCAAAATTAATTAGATCCACCACCACAAATCGATAGCTCACACTAGACTACCATTCCCGACTCATTAGGGAATAAGAAGATGCTAAAGTAGGGAGAAATCAAGGAGAAAATGTCGACGACCCGACTCGATTATATACTTGTTATTATCATCGTTTTCTAACCAAATCAACAACCTCCACCACCATAGAAGTGTCCCTTATCCTCTTATAAGTTGTTCCCCTTAGAAATCATGGCAAAATCTCATCGAAATTGGCCAAATCAAAAGAAGAGGAACCGACCGACTCGTTTATCCATTTCTTTCAAACCCGACCAAATCTCATTAATCCTAACAAATCGAGCCTCCCGACCACGGTAGAAATGCTTCTCCGGGTCCTCTAAGAAGCTTAGTGGTCTCTCGTTGCCTCGTCGTGGTCGGAATCTTCATCGAGAAGAAGGAATCACGAGTTGAATCCTCAAGGAGTCCGATCTCTCTCCTCCGTCAACACCGATCAAAGAGACCACCACAAACAAGTAGGCGATGACCTCCTCTAGCTGCGGATCGATCAAAGAACATAAATGACGAACCGATGGTGGTTAGACATCTCAAAAGTAGCACTAGAAGCTTCGAGATGCGGTTTCGTAATTTTGACATGAAGTGGCATTTTGGTTAATTTTTAGTAGCATTCTAGGGGTATTTTGATTCGATTTGTTTTCTTATATCTTTTTTCTCAATTATTTTACACGATTATTTTATAATAATGTTAATTTTATTTAGGTTAAAAAACCAATAAATATTTAATTTTTGAAATTTATTTTAATGTGCGGAGTTGGTTCGACTATGATATCGAACCAAAGAGTCTCCCATTTATTAAGAACGGGCGATGGTTCAAATATATTTTATCCAACAATGAAAATGCTGAAATAATAATAATAAGGAATCAATTTGAATCAATTTTATTTAACATTTCACATAAACGAGTTCTATTTAATTAGGTCGTTCCTCAATATTTGATCATGTTGGGAATTTAATTCGGATCTAATGCTAAATTGATGAGACTCTTAAATTTTAAGACCCGATGTTAATTTAATACGATGTTGTAGAAGAAAAAACAAAAAAAGTTATCAAAATATTTTTGATAATGTTTTCCTTGCATAGCTTAAAATAAAACATGAAAAAAAAAAAAAAAAAGCATTTTAAGCAATTTTAACAAGTTTTCTATCCAATAGGGATTGATGTTAATTCAAATCAATCACATTTTAGTTATTAGGTTATTCTCCGATATAATGATTTTGTTGAGACTTAAACTGGATCCAATATTGAATTAATGAGAGTCTCGACGATTGGTCCAATATGATGCTACGAGTAAAAATAAAAAATTAATTTGACTTAAGTAATAAATTTGAAATTTTGACTTAAGAAATAATTTGGCAAAAATAAAAATTTTTAAGAGTTAAAATTTTAAGATTAAACCGGACGTGGTACCTTTCGTCGAAAAAAATGCTTTTAGATGATTGATATCTTTCCAAATATATAACCGAATCCTTGTCTTATAAACTCTAAACCAATGTCGTTTTTTAGGTTCTTAATTCATTTAATACTAGGTGGTGACTTCAAAAATTTAGTCTAACTCACATCTCCAAACAAACAAATTTCAACTTACTTATTATTTTTGGAAGTCCCACAAACATCGGGTAGCGACGGAATGATAACTTCACTAGAGATTTAGAGTTAAGCCATAAGTTTAGTATTTTTTTAATTTATCTTTTTAATTCATTTTTTTCATTTATTTTTCAAGTAATTTATTTTTATCATTTAACTCTGAGTTATTTATTTCATGCAATTTATTTCCCGTATTTTGATTCTTGCATCTTCCTCCAAATATAGAAAAGAAACATATATATAGATATATATTTGGAGTTTTTTGCAATCTTCAAGATTTTTTTTTTTACTTTGCAATTATCTTGAGGGAAACGTGAAAAGAACGTAGGCTTTCTTTCCAATAATCTTTTACAAAATATGTTTCATAGTATATAGTAAAGAAAATAAAAATATAAGTGAGCAAATTTAATATTAATTATGCAGATCATATTGCATTAAATTTTCTCTTAAATTAATTTGATTTCATGTGGAACATATGTAGAGATAAAAGACAGATGATATATCCATTAAAAAAAAAAAAAAACTTAATCAATAAAAGAATCAAAAAGATTTTTTAAAAAATAGCTACATTGGTTTTTGCCAATAGG